CACTGAAGGTCTCCCTATACAATAACTGCATTGTTTTAATGCAACGTTAAAAACACCAGTTTAGAGCCAAAATGTGCAAAAGAAGAAAGCATTTTAGTCACCAACAAAACTTACAAGCCAAACAGTAAATAAATCAGGGTTGAGCACAGTATTATAATGTCATAACGGTCTCCAAGCAATGCTGCAAAGTGCAAGTTTGCCTTGTAAAAGTGTTCATTCATCCTACGCTGAAATTCCCTGTACTTTTTAGAAAAGAAAGCAAACAATTGATTATACCCGTACTACAGATTGAGGGAATAAATAAATAAATACATGGCATCTAGCTGAGGGCTGTGATAGGTTAGCGTGGGGTTTGTTGGTCAATGCCTCTGAGGAAGTACTCTAATTCTGATTCACCTACAAAGCAGAGCACAGAGTGGAAGCGGCCAGCCTGGCAAAGCATTAAAGCCACTGCCTAATTGTAGGCACGCAAATACCCTCACAGGGGCCAAGGGAGCCATTCCTCTGCCTAAAGCAAGGCTGGAGAGCAGAAAGCTGGAGAGCTTGCTGGACTGGAGCTGAAGGTTCATGCTTGCAGCAAGGCAAGTCACACTGCGAAACCCTGCAGCCTTCACAGCCTTCACCTGAAGGTTTCTTCTTAACACCAAGATTACTTGAAATTATAGGAGATATCGGATTATCCAACAGAGGTCTAGCAGGGCAGACCTGTAATACCACAAAAAGGCTCCTCAAGTGGAGCACAGAACTAACTTTAATGAGTTTATCAATGGATATAGAATCACAGAATGATATGGCGTTTGAAGGGACCTCTGGAGATCATCTAGTCTCCAACCCCCCTGCCAAAGCAGGGCCACCCACAGCAGGTTGCACAGGAACGTCTCCAGGTGGGTTTGGAATGTCTCCAGAGATGGAGACTCCACCACCTCTCCGGGCAGCCTCTTCCAGGGCTCTGCCACCCTCACAGGAAAGAAGTTCCTCCTCATGTTTAGGTGGAACTTCTTGTCCTGTCACTGGGCACCACTGAAAAACAACTGGCCCCATCCTCCTGACACCCACCCTTTAACACCATACCTCTCTTCAGAAAGCTATTCCTTGCACAACTTGATAGGAACCTGCGTGTGCACGGAGCAGCTTTCAGGATGATGACCTAAATACATGCATAGACATGGTAGGGGTCTTGCTGCTTAGTCTCCAGAGAAGTGGCAGGGATGGGCACGTGAGAAGACAAAGCCTGACTTCATACACAGCAAGGATGGTCCAGGATGCTGGGCTCATTACTCTGCTGGAAGACCAGTGACGTGGTCACTCTAATTATTTGTTACTGTTACTACTTTGCCAAAGCAAAGTCTGAGGCTATCATATCACACCATACACAAAATTAAGCTCACTTTCTTCCCTACCACAAACTTCTAATTCATGAAGCCTTTTGTGGATGAGCATCTCCGTCAGCAGTTTCCTTTAGCAGTGTTCCCCCCCTTGGATATTAGCCTGGCAGTAAATATAGCAGTCAAACAAAGAAGGAGTTAAAGGAACAATTTGCAATTTATCCTAGTAAACCGCCTGCAGTTTGGTTGAGATACACAAAATGAAACACAAAGGAGAAAAGATCAAAAGCTTGCAAAAATGAATTCAAAACAAAAGCAAGAGCGGTCCCAAATGACAAAGTCCCACTGGGGGATCAAAGTGCACCAAAGATTTTTGTTAGTTATTACAAATTATGATATTTTTTTTTCCCTTCACTTTTTCAATCACGTATTTTTTAAAAGAAGTTTTAATTTGCTCCAGCACTAAGACCTTCCCCACATGTTGCGGCCCGGAGCGCATTTTAATGGCTTAGTTATAAACCCCTGAAATTAGGGGTTTATAATGGAAATGCTGGCAGGCCCTTATCTAACGCAGTACAAGCCATTTTAGCGGTATGGCCAGAGTCTGAAGTTAGGTGAGCAGCCCCAGAAACCTTTTTTGTGTTAAGCAGTGACAGGAACTGGGCAGAAGTGGCTAACGGGTCAACGACAGCCCACGCTTGCGTAGTGTTAGAGCCTACAACCCAACAGGGACCTTCCAAGGGGCACCCAAAAGCCTGGGTCTCTTCACTTGCCTTAGGTACTTAGGGCTAAGACAGGACCTGCCCTTCCACATCACCTTTTCCTTCACATCTTGGTTTACAGCAGGGTCTTCAACAAACAGTTCGCACCTCGTAACCATTTTAAAGCCTCAATATTCAGGTTAAGGTAGGTTCTCCTCCTGGGTATGTCACTAACCCCTCGGAGCTGTTGAAATAATGGCATTTTCTTTGCTTCTTCATGATGGTGAGCTCTGCATAAAACTGGCAACTAAGAGTTTTCTATCTATTTATGATCCAAGCACTGACTGACTCTTTCAGAGGACAGCAGAGCCACTGAGAAAATACTGGTTTCCACATCCCACCTCAGACAGCCCTCACTCAAGTACCTTGCCAAGTTTGCTAATTAAGCAGAGAAGGACTGATATTAGACGTGCTCATGAGGTGACATGGCTACGATAGGCAGATGTTGCTCTGCAGAGCCTTCTGAAGAAACCAGCGTGGATCATTCCATCCTTTTGTTATTTTTAAGGGTACCTTACCTTGTTTAACACAGCATTCAAATGCAAATCACTACCATTTAACATTACCACAGCCCTCTGCAAAAAAAAAAAGGGGCACTGAATCAACAAAAGCTGCATTTTTTTGTAGGAGGGGTGTCCTATATCAACTGATGATGTTCCTGTAATAATACTCATTGCAGCATTAAAGAACAAAAGATGCAAATGCAATGCAAGCTCCAGCTTTCATGCAAATCGCTCCTTGTCACCAAAATTCATTATCATGACAATCACATCTGCAAGAAGTAAAAGTATAAAACATTGCAAAAGTAAAACTCATGTTTAAGTTCCTGAAGTTTTGGTATTTCTTAGCATTTGTTTTGGTACGTGCTCCGTGGAGTCTCTACACTCAAAGGAAATTTTTCATCTCCAGCAAGGAATGGAAATTTTTACCCCTCTGAAGGCTAACCCTGGATCTCTGGAAAACCATTTGCTTGGTTACACATGAAGGTAGATTAGAAACCCAAACCTCGGAGACCCTGGTGACTTCCCTAAATACAAAGACTAACAAGACCAACCCTTAGTCACTAAAAACAAAGGAAACTGTCATTACCTTAACAAAAGGAGGCCTCAGGCCCCAGGATGTGTACTACATTAGCATCTCCTTCCATTAAGAGGAGACAATTCTAGTGACAGAAATCTCTAGTCATTCATTAGACTTATAATCATTCCAGCTCTTGGAGTTTGATGCCCCTGACACCCAGGGATACACCACCTAAATGAAGCAGGTAGTTAAGAACTAATATGACCGTTAAAGCTGATAGGCAGAGTAGAGAGAAAAAACCGATTCGACCACAGGGTAAATCAGTGTCAGAATCAGGCAAAAACATCTTGAAGGCTTTATTTTTAGCCCTCTCAACCTAAATGTTTAACGATAACGTTAAAGCTAGCCCAAACAGTCAGAGGTATGTGCCAATATTGAGATTGAGTACAAACCCCTGACACATCAAACAATACGTGTATGTGTTTAAGTGTGCATCTGTTTGAAAAGTTGGGCCAATGTGGAAAATCCTATTATCGGGGGGAAAAAAAAAATACAATGGGGAGCTCTTCAGCTAATGTGAACCACTGTAATTCTATTGACAGCAACGGATCTGTGCTGACTTACACCAGCTGAGGATCTCATTTCATATGCCTCAGAAAACTGATGCAACTTTTTCCATAGCCACTCAAGAGTTTCTAGGCTCTCGTGGGGATCAACTCCAACTAGTAGGTCAGCAGGTGCTGAGTTTGCTTTGAATCTGCAGCCCAGTCACACAGAAGGATACTGGGATATGTGCCATCTAATTTTTACTGACCCACAGAGATTCCCCTCTCGTATGGCTGTAGGATTCATGTATTTTCTGCTTTAGTTCAGTGGGAGATACATGCTGCAGAAACCTTTCTTCAAGACATCAAAGTGAGAACCTGACCTGGCCCACAAGCCCAGGGAAGCGAGCATGATGGAAGCAGAAAGGATGAACAAAAAATGTTTTTCCACACCAGGACTCCAAAATATGCAGAAAGACATCTTCCGTTTTTAACCATTATTAGATTGATTTGCAAAAAAAAAAACCACCAACAATTAATCTGCAGCTATTCAAAATCCACTAAAGGTCTAAAATCTGCCCACACCTTTTCAAGCAGTTTTCCTTCCTAATGCAAAGAGAGTTTTGCATTAGTAGAGACCAACACACTCAGCCTTCTTACACTGAACAATCCCAGGGCTGGGATTACACGCTCTCCAGAGAGGCAGAGAACATGTAAAATTGTCAAGTGAGGTAATCTCTGGGGAGAATTAAGCAAACTACCCCAGTTTTGCAAATCCACAAGCTGCACATTCACAACTTGGAAATGAATTCACGGGAGGATACACTCTTAGCTTGATGTTTTGTCCCCGGCCATTAAAGAACTTTGGGGAGGTGGGGGCAGCCCTTTGTGAGAAGCAAGTTTATTTGTAAAAGAAGAGAAGGGAAGGAAAAAAAAAAACCTTTGCCATTAATTTTGACAGAGCTACTTCTGCCTCTTTTGTAATAACTAATTATCTAACTAGCGTAAGAGATTTCAATGGCCAAATGCAAAGCATTAGCAAGCCCTGCCAGGCTAATCAAGACAATTTCCAAAACGCCAAAAACAGGAACTTCCTATAATAAATAACTTAGCACATTTACATCTCAAATTAGAACATCTGGAAGAAAAAGACTACGCCTGATGCCAAAACAGGCCTTATTGTATCCTACCACTTTCCACCACCACCCCCCTACCCCCCCTCGTTCGTTTTCTTTAGCCTTTCCTTAGAACAAACACTGATCCAGGTGCAAATGCTCAATTCACAAGGAATGCAGTGAACATAAAATTACTGTAGGTTTGGCTGCTAGTAAATCCCTGCTGTTACTCACCATTGGAAGTTGTGCTGGAGGCAACAGCTTTCTCACTGACATCTGTTCGACTGGAGCATTTCACGATGGAATTCTCCACTTTTTTCTTCTCCGTCGTGGTAGAGCTATGGGACTGCGCCTCCATGATGACTTCTCATTACTTCAGATCTCCTCGTGCTAATACCTGAACGAAAAAAGAGAGCCATAAACTTTAAAACTATGCAAAAGCTTAGCCCAAAACCGCTCACACCTCTCACCTGAAGAAGAGCCTGCAGGACATCTGAATTAGCAGCCCACAGGCCAACAAATGGCCTGGATGCCCATCAAATCATGTTTGCATGCACTAATTCCTGAGGAATTTAAGGAAACACTAACACCAAAAAGAAGTAGGTTTGCCTTTAAAGAGAATCAGCATCAAAATCACTACGCTGCTTGATGGGTAGGTCAATTTTTGGAAGCCTGTAGGGTTTTAATGGACCCAGGGGAAAAAAGCCAGTAATATTCTCCTACATCCAGAGTGCTCTGGAACAGAAGAAATTAAGACAGGCCTTCGTGTTGACTGTAGAAGCCAAATATTTAAATTTCAACATCCCCGCTCTCCGAACAGACTGCAGCAAGAATTATCCTGTCTATCTCTACACCTTGTCTTACTCGTGTAAACACCTCTCACTTTGTTTGTTCAGAAATCTAACTCAAACAAAAGTGCATTGGAGCAACACCCTGAAAACCACAGGGAAAGGCAAATATTATTGCTTGTGGCAGACAATGAGCTCACTTTCTTTTGCATGAAAAAGCTGAAAATGGGAAACTCTGCAGCGTCGTGTCCCTGGTTATTCTCCCTTTCCTGGATGTTCTCAGCGCCATCTCCAGCGATACATTTATTTCATACCCTGTGTTATCACTTCTCCTTATTCTCAGAGCTTTGACATTCCTGAAATAAACCCAGAAGCCCACAAGCTTGGGAAAGGGTAACACTGCTTGTTCAGCAGTGCATCCATCCCAGGCCCTGAGACTGCAGGGATCTTGGGCTGTGAAGAACACAAGCATTTCCAGGCGCTCGTCCGCAGCTTAGTTTGACGCACACCAGCCTGCCCAAGTCAGCTTTAAACAAACCATCAATATTCAGCACACACCACGCCTAGAACTGAAGTACCTGTGTATTTCGGTAGTTTTGAACACGATCTTAGGCAACAACAACAAAAAAAATAATAATAAAAAGAGTGTTTTCAGCTCCGAGCAGCGCTGCGGTCATTAGCTGAAAGGGTCTGAAACGGAAGGAAGTCGCACTGTTCTAGAATAACTTTTAAATGAATTAAAAAACCAAAGGCTTCAAAACAAGCCACAAAGTAAACTATAATGAAGTATAATTACATGAGCAACCTGTTTCCCCAATTCTGACAGTCCAAAAAAAAAACAAAAAAAAAAAACCACAAACCACCAAACACAACCAACCAAAAAAACAACCCCCAAAAAAGGCTACAAAGCCAATTCATCACAAACACAGCTGTCTAGTAAACCTTCCCCTTCCCACCTCCCTAGTAGGAGTTCTTTTTAATAGCACAATAAACCACTCCAAAGCCTCATTGTTATACAGTAGGGATCAAAGAAGAGCCCAATCGCTAAATGAATCATTATTTAGCCAGGCAGCACAGCCAAGGAATTGGACTAGATATCAGAGACTCTCTGCCACCGACCTACTGGTCTACCCTTCGGCAAGGCATTTGTCTTCCCTTGAGATCCTTTCTTGCTAAAAACCAGAATAACAAGGCTCCACCTGCCATGGCAAAGTGCTTCTAAGAGTACTTTCAAGATCGACCTGTGAACGCGCTATAAATATTGTTGTGATCTGTGAAATAACTTCCTGCCAGAACAAGAAGGGGAACATCAAGTGTCTTCAAATAGGAAGCAGGAGAGATCTAACAATGCACCACCTGCAACAGCCCTTACTTGGACCCAGCGACGCACAAATCTCCTTGTGGACAGGACTCATACGAGCTTGGGAAAAGCACCTTCCCAAATTTCTTATCCTTTCTCCCCCTTTACCCTCACACACCTCATGCAAGAGCATCCACAGCTTTGGCCAGTTATCATGTGTATCAGGCTTTTCAGTCCCTTGCATTGGCAGAAACGGGGGGATGCTGCCAAGCTCTTCACCCCACGCTGACCAGTACATGTTTGTTTTCTCTGTACAGCCCAGGCCACATAAATACCAAAATCTGCTTTAAAGAGCTATACATTTTCAGCTGTGGTTATTTTTCTTCTGTTTTGGCTTTTAAGGGCCAAGTCTGCTACCCAGGCAGCATCTTCCTTTACATCAAAGAGTTTGACTGTGTCAGCTTGGCGGGGGAAGCTGCAGAATCTTCCCCCCGTTTTCTTCTGTCCTCGGTTCACAAGCCCGTTCCTTTTGGCTAAAAGACATGAAAGGAAACAATTATGCTCCCTACTCAACTAGAAAGGAAGAAGCCCACATTCTTTGCCCCCATTGCAGGAGGCCAGCAGAGTGGCACGGAACACGTGGGCAAAGGTCACAAAAACGATGACAGGTATCTGCAGTGGTTCCACCACCTCCTGCCACACAGATGTCTCTGCAGACAAGGAGCCCCTCGCTTATCTCCACCTGCTTCCCCTCTCCACCGTGGCAGGACAGCACTCCCAGTACCACCGGAGCCTACTCGCCGCTCAGAAAAGGAAGGAGGCGAAGGAGTTAACGCAGCTTTAACCTCTTAGAAAAGCATCTCTGGATCATCTGCAATTCCAGAGCAACACGTGGCCGCTCAAACTGGCACCCTTCCAGTCTCCTGGCTATTTGTTTCTTTCCCCCACAGCCCACCAATGAGATTTTTCTGGTGTTTTGGGTTGTTTTTTTTTAATGGAGGGAAGAGTAGGAGATAATTCCATGTGTCCCACCACTTTCTATCTGTCACCTTCCTGTTTTACTCTACCTAGTTCGGACAAAGGTACAGAACAGAGGCCTGAAGTAGCAGCTCAGAGCAAATTTTCGGTCAGAAAATTGCAGAATTGGCCAGGAGCTAACATAAACATCTGCTCTTGGTACCTGCTCTGGTTCGTGTCTGCTGAGTTTATGCACAGAAGGCTGCTCTTATGGAAGGGGGAACACAGCAAGAGCAAAACCTTCTTCCTTGGCTCTACACCCCGCATCCCGACCTGGCTGCAGACCTTTCCTCCCCGTGTCTTCTCCCTTCCTGCTGCCAACCCCACGCACGTGTGTGGCCAAGAATTCCAGCAGCTCCAGTGACACGCCAGTGCCCTGCCAACCACATGGTGATAGACACGGCTGGGAGGGTAAGGGAAGCCAGGAGAGGTGGCAGGACTGATCGTGAGAGGTAGGTGTTTTGGGATGTTTTGCCAAGCGTGCCCAACTGGAAATCAATCTGGTGCCCAAAAAACTCTTTCTTTTTTTTTTTCATGAAGACCAACTTAAACCCAAGTTGAAAACGCAAACCAGACGCACACATCATCTCGAGTCATCCTCCTTAATTTGGGCTCTGATTTTTATTTTCTCTCAGAAATAATACTGGAATATGAGAACTGCAGTCTACCAAAACAACAATAAAAAAAAAAAAGTCCAGGATGATATGAAGATTTCTTTCCGCTGGCTGCTAATCCCTACCAGAAAGCCTTCTGAAAATCACCCAGCCTGACGTTCCTCTTCACATTAAAATACAAAAGTGGTTTAGAGGAGGGTGTAGGCGGCTCTCCCCAGCTTGTGGGTCAGTGACTTCTCTGTTCCTGCCCCCAGGCCTGAGACAATATAGATCTATTCTGCAGCAAGGAGCTCGGCTTTCAAAAAAAACCCAGAAAGCTAGTTTCTATCGGCTATCCAGCATCTCCATGTGCATATGAATGGTAAGAAAACGCTATAACAGTATATGGGCGAAAGCCTGAACTCTCATAGGTAAATAGAGGGATAAACATTCCTTCCTGAAAGCAAACATTCATGGCTTTTTCCCATTCAACCATGCTTGAACCCTTTGTAATTTCCCTAAAGCCTCAACCCACTGCACAATTAATTCCAGATCCCCATTTTAAACCTAATCCCTCTCAAAACAGCAACCTGCCTGCAGGTGTGTCTCTTCTTTTTGACATCATAAATGTAAACTTTCACCCATTGCACATTAAATTGGAGGAATTTTTGGAACAAGCTACCGGCATGAATTAGTTAAGTCGGTAAAACTGTCTCTTTTAAATGGAGCATCAACAAATGGCAATATGTTGGAAATGTATTTCAAACAAAAAAATTCTTTCAAGCAATTTGAAATGATATAATTTCCGGTCCCTGTGTATGCTGGTCTTAAAACTACACCCCACAGTATTAAAAATAATCGTATTATTATATGGGAGAGGCAAAAAAAACCCCAAAAAAAGTCTTTTTGTTCATTTACTCACAGTGCTATCTAACCAAAAGCAGCGGAGCAGCCCTCTGCCTGGGAGAGCAGGAAGCAGGACCCTCTTCTGAAGAGACACTGGGATTTCTCAAGAAATCTTCAACTCTTGCACTCCTTTTCCTCTCCGAATTACTTCAAAAATCATTGCATTTATACTGAGCGAGTTAAAGACCAGATCATGCAGATCTACTGATGACAACAAGACTTACTGACTTCAACAAGGGCGGGAGTCCGAATCAAAAATTCTCAATTTGCTTGTTAGACTGATCTATGTTTCTTGTGTTTCTTGCAAACTTAAACCTTTTTTCTGCTTTGTCTGCTACTTTTTTTTTTTTAAGGGGTATCTTTTAATGTGTTGGGTTTGTTTTTTTTTAAAAAAAAATAAATAAAAAATAAAAATCCTTTCCCTGTTTTATTCGCTGCTGCTGTAGTTGTATTCAATTCATTAACAAGTGGTTTGCATCCGCTGAGAAGAGCTGTCTGAAATAGCAGTGTCACAGCATTCATCATCATTACATCAGCAGTAGGGAAGTTCATACTGATTGCTATCAGCAACCAGAGTGCCCCAATCAGCGTGCGAGCAAACATAGCATGTTTAATTTTGCAGAAATGACTCTGGGTAGTTAGGGTGTTCGTAGGTACCACTTTGATCCACGCTACTGGAAGCAGTCTTTGGGGATACAATACATCTTGAGCAGCGCAACCGTATGAAAGTGAAAAACACAAGGGGAGGCACGAAGAACAATCAGGAAATTACAGTCTCTCTCAACCATAAAGGACC